TCATTTCATTTTATGTGGTTGTAAGAGTCAGGCATGGCCACATTCAAACACAGCACTCTCTGGCTGCGGGACTCTGGCAGACTGTCCCTGTGCCTGGCCCTCTCTACCTGTGAGGTGCTGAAAAGAATGACAGCGGCCGAGACACCTGTTCTGAGCAAATGCAGTGGAAGTGAAGTACCGGGCCTCACCTTGCCCGGTGTGGGTTAGGTGGTCTTTAGGGAAAGCTAATTTTTTTTTTAACCCTCACCTGAGGACACGTTCACTGATTTTTAGAGAGAGAAGGGAGAGAGAAACATCGACCCGCTGCCTCCTGGACCCACCTGGGGCAATGCTTCAACCACCGAGCAACACTGGCCAGGACTGGAACCTGATTTTTTTGGTAACTCTGCCCCCCCACCCCCACCCCCGGGGGTCTACAGCTCAAGTGGCTGAGTAAATTGAGTCTTCATCCTGCCCCAGAATCTGGTCATTNCAACACTGGCCAGGACTGGAACCTGATTTTTTTGGTAACTCTGCCCCCCCCCACCCCCACCCCCGGGGTTCTACAGCTCAAGTGGCTGAGTAAATTGAGTCTTCATCCTGCCCCAGAATCTGGTCATTAAAACTTGCCACACCAGCTGCTTTCCCGAAAACACAGGTGAGGACTCCCTGGTGGGTACTTACAGGCCTGGGGGATTCAGGAACTCGCAAGTGATGCGAAACCACCTGCTGGCTGGACAGAGTACTCACAGGGGACCGCCGCTGCCCGGAGGCGAGGGCGGAGCGGGAAGCTCAGGACTGAGGGGAAGTGGGGTGGAAGCTCAGGACCGAGGCCGGAGCCTACTTCTCCCGACTCGGGCCGGATCTGAGTCATTTCAGCTTCCCCTTCTTTGGGTGATTCCCTGATTCCCTTTCTAAACTTAGATTTAAAAAGGCAGGTAACAGGCTCCAGAACGAGGTCTTCTTGTTTTGTCTTCTGAACTCCCCTTATCTTCCTAAAAAGCAGAACCTCCCCAAAGAACTCAATGTCATAAATCCCCTCTGGGAGGACTGACGCGCCTCACTGGAGAAGACACAGGTACCGTCACAGAACAGCCCGCACCTAAGCCCACCACCTGAGAAACGTCCAGAGCAGAAAGTGCCCGTCCTCACTCCTCGGTGTGGTCCCCAGACCAGCAGTGCTGGAGCTGGTGAGAGATGCAGAGTCCCAGGCCCCGGCCTAGCCTTGCAACCCCAGAACCTGCACCTGATAAATCCAGGGGATTCATGTGTACTGCCTGGGAAAGCAATGAACTCGGCAACAGTTTCATTTATGTTCTTAAAACAAAATGCAATAGGACGGGCCTTCTCGACCAAGTCAGATGGGACATACGTCAAAAAGAGGGGCCATAAAATAAAAATGTCTAAACCAGGCTTGGGACAGCCCTTTTTGCTTGACATAATTCATACCCTCCTTCTGGCATGAGACTGGCATCCCTGATACAATCTGTAAGTTTTCTGGGAAATGAGTTACCCACCTGCCCAGAGGACTGTCAGGATCTTTAGCCAGCAGTTCTTTCTGTTTAGCCTGACAATGATAATCCAGCCTTTATTTTCCTATAAAACATCCCTACCTAAAAATGAACTTCTGGGTTCGCCTACTGGGGCCTTTCCCCTGACACTCGAGATCAGAACAAAACTTTAACATATACTCCTAACTAAATGCTCCAAAGTCCTCTCTCCCTCATAGAAGGAAAAACTGGGTTAGATTGCTCACTGTGGTGGACTCAAGAGCAGTTACGCCGAGGCTACCAGGACATGTGGGAAGAATTAGTGGGAGGTTCAAAGAAAGCCCAGCCAAGAAACAGCAAGACAACTGAGGGTAACAAGAAGGAAACGCAGAGAAGCTGCCGCGCCAGGTGCTGGGGGTCCTGCTGGATGCACAACATAAACACTGACTGCAACTGAAACAGACACAGTTGGAGGCTGTACTGGGAGGATGGGGAGGGGAGGCAGAGGGAGGCCAGTGGAGCCCAGCCTGAATCCACCAGAAGGCAAGTCAGCAGGCAAAGGTGAGATGAGTCAAAGGGAGCAGCACATAGCCTGCTGCTTGGAAACGGGAAAAACAGTGAACTTGGAGACTGAGCTAGCGAGCTGAAAACGACTCCCTGTGGGGAGGACTGCAGGACACGGGGTGGGTGGAGCAGGCGACTGTTCACTGTCAGGCTCTGCATCCTACGAACTTTTAGCACTAGTGCAGTGTTACTTTAGGAAAAAATTATAAACAACAAGCAGTGGTTTACAGTTAAAACCACCAGAGGAAGTGTTTCCTTCTGACTTAATATCTTTTTACCTCCCTCATTACCTTTCAAAGGGCTGGAGAAACTTGGAACAGAGATTGCACATTCGTGAAGGCCACTTACAGAGCTCTGCCCGTAATTCACAGGGACGCAGCCCAGAAGTTTCACTTAAAAAACTCACTGGGGACAGACAGCCTCCAGTGGAAATCAGCATTAAAAACCGACTCTTGGTTTTGTTAACAAGGTTCTGTTGTTCAAAAGAAGTGTGCATCTTATTTTAAGTCCGTGCAACATCTAAATGTTTTGCTGAGAGTGGATACAGGGTTTCGTAACCACCACACAGCTGCATGGGCCAACAGGCCCGAGGGACACGTGACCTTCCAGCGACTCATGCGGCTCCACTTTAATTTGCAATGAAAGGACTAGTTTTCTGCTGGAGCTGCATAATTCATCTGAAAAAACATTAGGACGAATAATTGTTTTAAATGCATTCATTATGTGTGACCACATAAAACTGAAACAGGCTTCTACCTTGTAAGGGTTATAGGAGAATGTACTTCTTCTCTAGTCCTTGGATAGCAGTTTAAATAGTGACTTCAAAAAAACTTATCTACTCTGTTGGAATGACAAGCAAACACATGGTTCCTCCGAGGTGGACAAAGGCAGGAATACAAACAGTGCAGGAGGTGTTCATGGCACCACGGGGCTGAGGTCCCTGCCACTCTGAGGCAGGTAGGCACTCAGCAATCTCTCTGGCTTCACCTACAAGGTGAAGGGCACAAGTCTGCAGGAACTTTACCTGTCATGCCTAAGTGTTGTTTTTCCATGTCATTCACCCAAGTTAGGATTCAACAGAGCCAAGAATAAGCCTCCTACAGCTGCCAAGGGACAAAACACACTCCCTATGCAGAAATCTGGGACTGGCTCAATGGGCAAATCTGTCAGCACAGACAGAAAATATTTCTAATGTAACCTACACTGTCAGGGGGAAAAATGGCCCTAAAAGATGAAAAAATGAGCTGACACTACTCATTGTAAAAGTCAAACTTTCCTACAAGGCCCTGCAAGACCTGGTCCCGTCCCCTCCAACCTTCCTTACAAACATCTCTTGCTCACACTCCTCTGTATTGGCTGGACTGGCTGCCTTGCACTGGCTGTTCCCTCGACCTAAAATACTTTCAAGCTGTCACATGACTTACTCCCTCACCTTAGGCTTTGGGGCCTTTCCTGACTACCCTACCTACAACTGTACACTCCACTGCGCCCCACCCTAGCCCTATGGTTTCCTTTTTCCCAGAGCACCCATCGTGTCACCTCCCCTGCACTGGAAGGGAAGCCCAATGGGGCTTCAATTTGACATCTGTTTAATCCATCAGAAAGCTGTCACCCAGGCTCGTAAACCAGAGAACTCTGAGCACTCCACTAAAAGTACACTTTCAGAGTCATAACCCTTTTTCCAGATCAACAGCACTTTCCTAACGTACGGCAATCAGGATTCTAAACAGTGCTGGCTTGAACAAACTTTGCTCGGTGTTGATACGTACCTTTCAAGTCCAAGTATGAGCAATGTCCTGGCCACCCTTAAGCCCTCTTAAACCCTTAACATGCTGGCCAGGACTTCAAATACCGGTATGTGTTGCATCGGACTCCTTACTCTCTACTCAAGCCGCACTGAGTGAAACCAGCTGTCGCCACCGGCAAAGAATCTCAATGAAAAGCTGCATTAGAACGTGCTCTCATCCCCCAGTGCCATGTCCCGGCCACGTCCCATGACCACATTTGGTTCACATGACACAATATGAACCATATGACACAATAAACACTTCTCAAGAACTGTATGCCACTGAGACACCCTGGCAGGTTCCAAAGAAAGAGCCCAACCCTGCAGATTAACTTCCTGCATAACTTTCCAGTGAAATAAGGTCTTGGCTAAATTACCAATAAAAACCAAAAATCTTTGTACCAAGTTACAAGAGAGAACAGTCTGGTAACACTGCACCCTCTGATGGACAAAGAGAGAAGTTCAAGATTTTGACTTGTTATAGCTATCCTTTAAAATTTCACGTTTTCTACTCCAGGCTTTGTGTGTCCCATAGCAAATTTTTAACATTAAAAAGACTACTTCTGCCCAGCCGGTGTGGCTCAGTTGGCTGAGTGTCGTCCCACACACCAGGAGGTCACTGGTTTGATTCCTGGTAGGGGCACATGTCCGGGTTGTGGGCTCAATCCCCAGTAGGACTCATGCGGGAGGCGGCTGACCCATGTTTCTCTCTCATCGATGTTTCTCTCTCCTGCTCCCTTCCTCTCTCTAAAATAATACGAACATTTTTTAAAATTACTTCTTAGGGACCACACATTTCATTACCCGTTGCTACCACTTCTTTGAGAGACGACTCCTGTGTGCCTCAACCCTCCAACATAATCCAGAGGAACAAACATCATAAATGCTATGGCCCATTCATGATACACTGCAGCCTATTTTAACATGTGGTCTTTGGGGAAAACAAGTATGCCATCACCACACCCACACCAGTCAGGGAACATTCCAGGAGCCACACTTAGTGGCATCAGCCACATGAAAGATTCCCACGAGTCTCCTCCTGTGGGTTTTAGCTTCCCACCCACCACCCAGGAAGGAACCCAGCACATTGCCTTAGTGTGCAGGCAAATCAATGAAGACTGTGTCTTGGGGTGTGGTCCCGGAGAAAAGGGGTGGAGGTCAGATACTGGGCACAGAAAACATAGTGTGTACAAAGTCTCCTTAGAGTCTGACTCCATTTATTCATAGCCATACAAAACAGGGTCTTATGTAGGTCAGCCTTCAAAAATTATGTGGTCAGTGATTAAACCAAACAAACCTGGAAGGTGCTAAAACAAAACAATGACAGTTCAGGCCCAGAGGACCAGGCAGAATTGAAATTGGCAGATTTTCACCCAGTGCACAGGCCAATCTTCCAGTAAACTCACCTGCAAAGAAAGTACCCTTTGTCAGTCTTCATCCCACTTTGGAGCAGCCCAAACACTCAGAGAATGTACCAGTTAGTGCCACAAAGTACCCTCCAAAATCTAAACTCTGCTTTCCACCCAGAATACGATGTGGAAGGTGCCCTGTGGTGACCCTGCTTCCACCAGCCCCTTTTTTGCAAACATTGTTCTTTTGAAACTACAGATTTTCCCATGTCATTCTCATTTAAAACCCATGACCTCCCGTATATCCTTAGGAAAAAAACAAAATGCTCACGTGAGCCACAGGCCCTGTGCGACCCAGGCCCTTCCCTACCTTCCTTTTCAGCTTCTTTCCACACTGTTCTCCACCCTGCTTTCTCCCCGACCGTGGCCTTCTCTCAGTTCCTCCACCAGCCACACTTGCTAGACCACCGGGCCTTTGCACGTGCTGCCCCCTGGCCTTCCCGCCAAACTCCTATTCATCCTTCAGAGTCTAGCTCAAGGATCCCATCCTCAGGAATGCTTTCCCGTCTCCATCAGGCTCCTGGTGAGACCTGTTCTCATGGAAAACTGTGCCTTCCTTCAGAGGGTTCTCCTCACCCTCTAGAGCGCGGTAACCTACCCTCCTCTCTCCAACTGGGCGTAGCTCCCTGAGAACAAGGGACCGCAGGGCTTTTGTTCATCCGTATCCCTAACAGTTACTGGGGTGCCTGGCCAAAATACCCATCAACGTTTATTAAGGCCAACTCTGTTGGCAGATTTTTGGAAGCCACCTGCTCACTGGGACGGGCTACACCAGCCTCCGCCTCCCGGCGCCGGCCTTGTTTGCAGTATCATACATGATCATCAAACTGCTGCTAGGATGTTCACACCTGTTACTGCAAATTCAAACCCAGGAGGAGCTTCTCCCGGGGATTTGCTTTAGGTCAGGGGAGGGCTGCCTGGTACGAGGCCGCACCCGCAGCTGGGCAGGTTCAGCAACACAGGCGCCTTTCCCCCAGACCACGCGCCTCACGACACCCCGTCCCCAAGCCTCGCATACCTGGCTCCCCCAACCTGCGGCCACTCGGAAGGCTGTCACCGACCAGGAGCAGGACGCATTCGTCGTCGCACGCCTCGGCCCGGCGACTTCTCATCGCCTGAGGACCCCCTGCGGAAAGAAAGTCGTAGGAAGACGAGTCTCCTTCGATGTTTACACGCTCCCGGGGACCCGAGGCCTTTCTGGCGGCTGCGGCGCCTCCTGCAGCCGCTCACCTCAAACCTGGGGCCCCCCGCGGTCCCCGCCCCGCCCCAG